CAATAGGAATCAAATAAACACAAAAATGTATTTTTATCATATTTTATATTTCTTCTTTCAAATTGCTCTTAACATTTCCACTTCAATATACAAAATTACATACAAAATCTAGTCATAAGGAATTATTACATGATTACGCCACCAGTCACTAGAACAGCACACACACTCAGAAAGGCATATTATTTCCAGATTATTAATTCCTTATCAAACAATCTTTTTAGACCAATGAGGTGAAATAGGAAGATTTTCTACGGCACACCTGACCATCACTCGCGGCACACTAGTGTACCGAGGACCAGGGGTTGAAAAACACTGGTCTAGTCCATCCATCCATTATCAATACCGCTTGTTCCCTGATGGGGTCGCGGGGGGAACTGGAGCCTATCCCAGTGGTGAGAGGCAGGGTACACCCTGGACAGTCCTCCAGTCCATCGCAGGGACACACAGAGACACACAAGGACCAACAACCACTCACACTCACATTCACTCCTAAGGGCCATTTCCCCAATCTCCAATCAACCTAACCTAACTTATATAAAACAAGCTCTAAATACGCTTCGTCGTATTTCCTCGTCTTAGCTTTCGGGTGACTTTCTTTTGTCTCATTATCTTTGTCTCCTTCCGTTTTTCTTTTCATCCCCGTTAAAAACTTTTCCATGTTGGGGGTTGTTACGTTGAATAACGGAGGCTACAGACAGAAGGCAGTCAGAGCTAACCGAGGCTAACCTGTTGTCTTTAAGTCGTAAACGAACGAGATGAAAAATATAACTTTAGAGGAGATGCAGTATTCAGAACGAAGACGGTACGAACAACGATGAAAAGAATGACTATATCAAGTAGTGGAGTGAAGTTATGGAATAGTTTACAGCCGTGTTTAAAGCAGAGTGTGAACATAAATTTGTTTAAGAGAAGGTACAAAAAATTACTTTTGGATAAATATGTAGACGAGGAAAGATAAAAAACAGGTAGATTAATATGGAAGAGTGAATGTAACTAGTTAAATGAGCAACTTAGGTCACTTGAATCATTAGGGATGGGAAACTTAAAAGTTTATACTTCGTCCCATTCCTTTTCGAACAATTTATCATGGTTTATGTATTCATTGTGTTGTGTTGTATTTACACATCTTATATTGTTTTGTTGTTCGAATAAACTGAACTGAACTGAAAATGTTGCACTGAAGTAACGATGAGAGCGCCACTGCCCCCTACTGGAGTGGATGCGCTATTACACTTTATACTAGTACGGCCCCAAAAAAAGGCTGTTCCCCAGGGTCACACGCGCCCCCCCAGGGATCGCAACGCACCCCCCAAGGGGGGCGCGCCCCACTATTTGAGAAGCACTGTTCTAAATGCAAAGTGGACCTATAAAGTGCTGCTGACGCGTTTTCCAACTCCTGTTCTTTCCCCCTCGCCATACCCACACAATTCTCCACAACAACTGATTTTTATCTGCTACACCCAGCTAGCTGCTTCTTCTTCTTCTTCTTGTTTCCTACTGGTGGTTGGCTTTGGGTGCAGTAGCGCCACCTTCTGGTCTGGAGTGTAAACGCTTCCCTCTGAGAAAAAGGAGCAGCAGGAACCGAACGCAACACACGCCAACCGAACCGAGACAGAACCCAACGGTTCAGACGGTTTTCAGAAACCGTTCCATCCCTAGCAGCTACTCGGTCCGGTTTTAGACGGACGGGATGATCTGTGAGGACTTTAACTTTACCTCGCCGGAGACTCTGGGCCTCTTGCTGCTGGTGGACTGATTCGTATCGGGAACAATCTCTGCTGACGACCTTTTCCCGGTCTCCACGGCAACAGGAGATCCTCCCTCGTGTCCCGCCGGTGGCTTGCAGATAGCGTAATCCTCTGTCTCCTCCTTAACATCGTGGACCTGCTTGTGTTCTGCGAATGAAACAAGATTCGTTCACTGAACTCCACCGGTTACCTCTGGCTGCCCGTATCAAATCCAAGTCCCTGATACTAGCCTACAAAGTGCTTAACTCATTGACTAGCAGCCATTTTCAGAACAGAGAGTCCCATACTGCCAGAGTTTTTTGATTATTTTGACTGATTTTTCAAGACCCACAGAATAGTTTGTGCTATGACTATGTAAACACCGAACACACCAAAAGAAAGAGTAGACTCTCTTCTTTCATCAGGAACAAAAATGTGTTTCTACCTTATTCCGTTCTTCCTGGACTTGCGTCTCAGCGGCGACATGTTCTCTCATAGAACCGTTCCCTTTTTCTTATTGGCCTACAGTCTATGCTCATCTCCCATCAAAAGTGGCACTGCCCCCTAGAGGGTCAATTTGTTACTACATACTCTGTCTAGAAGCCCATATTTACGGACTAGCTTTAGCAGATCGTCCCCCAGCCACTCTCGCTGAAAAACATAAAAGACGTCTTTAGACGTCTTTGGCAGCCAATGAGTTAAGGGTCCGGCTCCCATCTACTTG